TTGTACATACCCCAGAATGCATCACCTAGTATATTGGCAGTCTTTCCCTCCAACACTTTCTCATTTCCCCTTGTTGGAAGAGGGATATTCTTACATGGCGAGTATATCCCAAACTCTATATTTTAACTGGAAAAGTTGGGGGTCACCTTATGCCCAGTCATCGTATACGCCGGAAAACATGGTACCTTTGTGGATGACAGCCCAGAATCCCATGTTTGTTGGGTGGGGGTGGGTTCTGGGCACTGCAATCCAAAAAGTAACTCTGAATTAAGCTCTGTATGATGAAAACATGCCACCTGATGTTAGTCTGTATCACATTTCTATTAAAGATCTATCAGTAGGTCAGGCAAGTGTTTTTCTCCTTGTTATCAACCTTAGGTGTAGACCAACTTAAATGATGAGATGGGACTTCCCTGTCCCCGTCTCCCTGTTCAAAGACCCTCAGAAGGGAAACTGTGAGTTACCAGACTTTCAATTCCTTCCTATCTAATAGCAGTTCAGCAACTACATACAGATCATTCCCCAATTCAGGCAAGGTCTCCCAATTATATTTTGCTCAAAGGTTTCTTGCTCAACATGAAATTTCTGTAGATCAGCAGATAAGATCTCCTGATGGCCCTATAAAGTTTGGCTGAGTCATATGATAGGCAAGTCAGCTGACTCTGTGACTGAATCACGAATGATTTATGGTTATGGCTGTCCAACAAGCTACTTATCCTGAAACACTTTCATGTTCCCAATAATAGCACTACAATTCCACTTCATCTGTCATGTCTCCATCCTATGGAATCCTTGGATTTGCAGTTTAAGGGGGGGGTATTTTGAATTTCCAGCCTGAAAGCTCTAGAGCCTCATCCAACTACAAATCCCAGAATTCCATAGGAAACATAGGGCACAGCCATAGCAGTTACAGTGAAATCATAGGGCTATACTTGAGTAGTCTGAAAGACTCCTCTGAGCAATCTCTAGAATACAATCATGGAATTGGAGCAGGCCTCTAGTTGGAGGTACTTTAGTCCAACCATGTACTTAGTGGGGAATCCATAGTGCAGAATGTAACCACAACATTTAATATAATCTTATATACTTCAGTAGTATTACTCACAAGTCAGTGGTTTGTGTAGGCTTGTATTTCTGTTCTCCTACCCCCACCCTCAACAAGAGTGACAATAGCCCAACTACTTAATTACCAGCAAAAATATATGCTGACAAAATAGATCTATGTAGCAGCTTAGGAATTGTAGTAAAAGTCACATTAATTTCAAAATCATACATTTCTGGAGGAAGTCGAGTTCAGATTTATGAGAGATAATGGTTAAAAGGTGGCTATAAATGCTTTATGAGTTCAGTAGGTTGACACAAGAGACAACCTTGCTGCAAAAAAGATTAAATTTTTTATTCAGGCAGCTTAAAATAGATTTGACAAATATTTGGCAACAGAGCTTAGCCTAATGTTTTATCTTGGGTGTTATGGCTGGGAACCTATTTCCTGTTTGTGAGACTCTTTGATTATTCAAGATGTAGTGGTGTGTGTGTGTGTGTGTGTGCGTGCGTGCGTGCGCGCATAAGCTTTATATTCACAGATCCAAAGGTGAAAGAATCATTAGAACAATGGGCTTCCCAGCATGAATCTTAATATTGGCAATCGTGGCATCAAACAGAGCTGTGGACATATTTAATATAATATCTATAATTCTGACAGTGAAATAAGCAACACAAGTGCATATGATACTTTGTGACACACAATTTTAACTTCATTCAGTCACATTGCTTTTGAGACATGGTTACCTGCAGGATAGGGCCATAAAACAAGGATGTACAAGAATGTGTCAAACGTAGGGCTTCCCTAAATTACACTCAGAGGCACAGATTAATACATTTAATACATTCCAGTCATGAGTGAAGTACTTATAGCAGCGCGACAGGCTCCTTCAGTGATATCATTCATGGGAATGAACTACAGCTAACACTGACAAGCTGGAAAAATGCTCCCACTTTTCAAACTGTACAAATGGCATTTGGACACAGTAACTCAAAACTGGACACTTCATTTCAAGTTTAAAGCTAGTGGCCCAGTCAAAAGCTATTACTCCATCTTCTTTATTTGTAGTCCATGCTTTTGTGCTCTTTAAGAATCAAATAAATACTGGTGTAATGGTTAGCAACTGCCACTTCAACGAAAAATACTGCTAAATTCACCAATAAGTCTTCTTTCTACACACTCAAATTTATGGCACAAGAACTGGAACCATTCCTATTACAATGTCCAGAAAGGGGTTCCTTTAAAAAAAAATGTAGAAGGGGCTCACTTTAGTAGTAAGAGTTTAAACCTGATCTACTTCTTCTTTGTTTCATTATATTGCAACTCATTTGGGGGTGGAGGAGGGAGAACTGTGAAGTAAGCAAACAAAATGTGAGTAGAGTCACCAAGAGGTGATCCACTTTACTTCAAGATTTAGTCAGAAACATACAAGCTCGTTGTTGAGAGACTAACCTATTATTCAAAATGGGTGATTATTTAAAACAGCTTATTATTAGCTTGTTCACCAGACTTGAATACCCCTGTGATCTTCATCCAACATAACATCAATGAAGAAAACCAGTGTGCTAATGGGATTGTGTTGGTTTTTGCTGTTACACAAACAATAGCACATTTCTTTTCAGATTCCCTAGATATAATACCATTTGTACAACTGGTCCTTCAACTGATTCTTCAACTGATTGTTCAGCCAGATGTGCTAACTGTGTTAGATTGTTTCTCTTGCATATCATCAGGAATTTTTCATTCAGTTGAATTGCCCTCCTTCAGCCTAATGAATTTAGGGACTAGTCTACATGTAAGCGTATTATGGAAATTGCTGCAGATTTTTGCACATTCACATCAACTAATTGTCTTCATTTTCCTGTGCAAATTCACATTTATTCACATTTATTTGCCCTCCCTTTGCCAAAAATGTGCAGCCATGTTTCCAAATCCATGCAAACAGACAGATGGACACACATTTTATAATGCATATCCTTGTGGATACTCCCAGCAAAGCCTTTTCCTCCACAGTTTAAGTAGTTTTTTGCCCTCCACTGCAGAAGGCCCTAACTCATGCTATTCGCATGTGGACAGATTGTATTCTAATCTACTGGAACGAGGAGTATTTCAATCATGTAGACAAGCCTGAGAACAGTGGTTCCAAACTTTGGTCCTCCAGATGTTTTGGACTTCAGCTCCCACAACTCCTGACTGTTGGCCATGTTGGCTGGGGCTTCTGGGAGTTGAAATCCAAAACACCCGGAGGACTAAAGTTTAGGAATCACTACCCTAGAATGAGAGCCTAAATTCCATTCCAACTAAAGCAGATCCACTGAATCAATATGAACTTGGTAAATCAACATTTATGAATGTTTCACTGATTCAGTGGCTCCACTTTAGTTAGGATTACCCATTGGATGTAGGTCTACATGTCCATAAGTCAGTGCAATATTACTTGTGCTAGTGTATTTGAGCCATTGTGGCATAGAGGTTTGAGTGTTGAACTATGACTCTGGAGTCCAGGGTTTGATCCCCAGCTTGGCTACAAAATTCACTGGGTTACCTTTGGCAAGTCACATGTTCTCAGCCTCACAGGAAGGCAATGAAATCTTGCCAAGAAGACCTCAGGATAGGGTCGCCTTAGGGTCACCATAAGTCAGGGTCTTAGGGTCACCATAAGTCAGAAATCAAGACACACATTACCACAGTGGAATGACAGGAGATTTTCACATGGGCAAAAATGATAGGAGCATAGCAGGATGCTCCCATCACTATCACGCAATTGTGCAAAGATTATCAGATGACATGATTTTTGCGTTATTATTCCCTGAATAAAGAGGAATTCTAGCATCACTTTTTATTCATGGGACTTCTTCTTTATCCATGAGATAATGATATGATTATCGCAATGTCATCTGATAATCTTTGCGCAATTGTGGGATAGTGATGGGAGCATCCTGCTATGCTCCTATCACTTTTGCCAGTGTGAAAATCTCCTAAAATTGGTTACTGGCCACTGACTTTAATAATATGCTGGATGACCTTGTAGACTGAATTAAAGTGGAGAGTAAGAAACTATATATGAAGGCATATCTCTTTTATTGGCCGTCTATTCATCCTCTGACTTCCTTAGGACATATGCCCAAGATAAAGACACAAGCTATATATGCACATCTTTATGAGAAGCTAGTTGCTTACCTCATGAAAGAACCAGTATTATATACTGTTTCCTGAAATGTAGGAGGAGGGTAGTGAAGAGTGGAAAAGTTTTAATAAACAGCAGAATAGGTAGAGGAGTTGAAAAACCAGTGAGAAAAAGAAAACTAGAAGACAGAGTTACCCTACTGCCCGGTTGGTCAGATTTTACTTGGATTCTGATCATACTATCTGGCGGCTATTAGTGGGCCTGGGTTCCCAGTTGTTGTTGTTGTTGTTGTTTTAAGTAAGCAGTAGCCTAGTAGAAGTTGAGATATGAGACAAAATATGGAGGAACTGTTTCAATTTTCTGCAAAAGTGTAAGATCCAAAACAATGGATTCAGATTACAAGAAAAGAGATTCTGATTGTAATGTAAGAAGAACTACCTGATAGTTAGAACTGTGCAACAGAGAAATCGCTTGCTTAGGAAGATGGTGTTCCTCTCCTTCATTTGAGGTTTTTAAGCAGAGATTAGGTGGTGTCCTCTCAGGAGTGCTTTAGCAGTGGATTCCTGCATGGGCTTAGACTTGATCTCCCTTGCAGTGCCTTCTACCTCTATGACCCATGTTGTTGTTGTTGTGTGCCTTCAAGTTGTTTCTGAATAATGGAGATCCTATGGTGAGCCTATCATGAGGTTTTCAGGGGCTGTGAGTGTGTGACTAATCCAAGATCACCCAAGTGAGGAATTGAACTCTGATCTCCAGATTCATAGTCACTACACCATGCTGGCTCTGAACCTATGAATCTATAATTCTAACACATGTATCTGATACTGCTTTTCAGTGTGTTTAGCTAGTGAATTAGGTCACACCTGTGACTGACATCAGTTTTTTAGACATTCAGAATCATAGAGTGATAAATTATTTTGCAAAAGGAGGTTAAAGATTCTGTGTGGGGGGGGATGATAATGTGCAAGTGGAAGGGTGGGATCACTATTTTTTAGGCTGCAATTCAGATTACATTCACTTATCCAAGAATAAAAGCCACTGAACACAATAGTGTTTATTTTGAAATAGAATTTATAGGATTTACTTCTTTAAAGGAAAGTGACTTTATGTCAAATGTGAGAAGTTTTCTGTACATGTTCCAAGACAATCCTCAGGTCCATATTTAGAAGCAGAAACCATTCTTTTCTAAGAGAAAAGGTAGTCTAGAAAGGCATTTTTTTTTAATTTTGTCACTGCTCTTAATTTATGGTATCATTGCATATAAAGACATTTCACATTTTAGACGTGTTTTTCAACATACAAAACACTTTTCTAACATCAGCTCAATAATTCATTTTAGTATGAGGCTGAGTACAGGGATAAGATAATTCTGGGTCCTGTACCTAATGGCCATGGGGGTATAGTTATAATATATAATTTCGTTTTTTCAAAAACATTTCTTGGTGGATTTTACACATTTTGTTTATGTATGGGGTCTGTGGGTCTGAAAAACAGCCTTGCTCTGAAAAACATGTTAGTAAGTGTTGTTGTTTGCTTGCATAAACAAGTGTGCCTTGAGTATGCTGCAAGTTTCTAAGTCCAAAAAACATTTCCAACTCTGAAATGGGCTCTGACGATTCTTGTTTAATTCTTATTTACTTGCTTACACCTTTTGTACGCACATTGCAAATACTACATATGTTTGGATCCAGTCTCCTCTGTTCCATAACTGACACTTTTAACTGGTTTGGAGTTTGTTTGTTTTAACCGAGTTCTGTTACAAATTTTGCAAATGTTGATTTTGATATCACAAGCACAATCCCAAACTTTGTGGAATTTTTATCCCTGGGAAAGTTATTTTATTTTCAATATCTGCAGTCGTTAAAGACACAGGATTGCTGCTGAGGAGAAATAGGTAAAAAGAAAAGAAACCTGAACTAGTACAAAATATGGCAGCCAGAGTGGTCTCAGGAACATCAAGGAGAGACCACATACCGTATTTTTCGCCATATAAGATGCACTTTTTCTTCCCCAAA